GCGTTAGCCATTCTTCAATTCTTGTCATTCAGCTGCAACGACATTTCATGGCAGCATTCAGCGCGCTTGCCACCGCTTGCTATGATTTTGAAATGTCGCACACTTCGCGCTTTTTATCGCCCGAGTTTCCGTTGGCTCAGCGCGCTAAGGCGGCTGTGGCACCTGTTGCCAAGCGGCCATCCATTAAATTCGCATTCACGTTTGCCTTCGATTTTTGCTGCTACTGCCAGCGTTGCTGTGGCTGGCTGAAACTAGTGCACACTAAATAAGGTGCAAGCTGCACGCTTGCCATTTTATGCGGCTGTTCATTGAATTCATGAAATCACTTATTTGTGACCGGAGCGAACGTCAAAAGCCAGAAGGCAAAACGAAGTACCAGCATAGTTAATAGCTAAGCACAAATATTGCACAATAATCAGCACGATGATGTGTTGCATGCCGCCAGCGGCAACATTACACCGCCTAGTGGGGTGGATAGCAATTTGACAGCAATCGAAGTAAGCTCACCAGGGGAGCCGCTGTAAAGCCTTCTCAAGCCGTCGGCTATTTTTGGTTCTGCATTTTTTGGGGCGATAGTTGCTCCACAACACCTAAGTCAGTCGCATAAACGTCATTATTTCCTTTCGCGTTTTTTGATTAAAATAATTGGCCACACTGAATTGAGAAACTAGTTATATAAAGTTCTCAAAAATGGCCTGCGGTGAAATCTACAAGGAAATTAGTTAATTGCATAGACGCTTTGACACCCGAGTGTGCATAAGACACTTGTTGCTGACATAGAAGCGCTTAAATAAATGAAAATTACGAAATTTGGTGTAATTTAATTATAGTATTTAATCTTGCTGTAATTTGATAATACCGAATACGAAGCTGTGGAGCGGAAAATATAAGAACAAGTACCGCGACTGACCCAACATTTTGGCCTTGTTTGCCACAATTTACTTGGAGGTGAAAATAGTTGACATATTAGACGGTCTTCGAAGAAATTGGTAAAATAAAGTTTCTTCACCAAATTCTCAGCTTCTGTACAACAGGAGAAAGCGAATGAGCTATTGAAGAGATTCGACACTTTTTCTAGTTTTTTTGCGATATTTATACTTATTTCCAATAATCAGAAGTTTAAGACCTCTCAAACCTTTTCTTCATCATTATCAAATTCATGAGAATCCGGCACATGCTTATTCTATGTTCTATACGATTTTATTCCTTCTCTATCCAACATCAACGCTCATACAAATGCACTCATCACTCATGAGCTTCTAATTAAGTTGTCAACGTAGAATTGTCAATTAAAAAATTAAAGTCAATTGCAAATTACATTAACAAAATTTGATGATAATTACTGTTTTACGCTCGTTTTCCGAATATGTTTGCAATTCGCCATTGCGCTGAACATATTTATGTATGTGAGTATGTATACATATGCACGTAAAAATACAGTATGTTATAGATATATACACATACAGTCATATAAAATTATATACTTATATATATATATGTAAGGGGTATGTATGTTGACGATCATTTAGTTTTTACTCACATAGCTATTTTCTGAAATCAGTCTTCGCCAAGGTGGCAGGCTTTATTATCTCGTCTAAGTCACCGTTTCGCAGCATCTGGTTTTGAAATTTTCACAATGTTGCAAAAATATTTTTAACGCTTTTGGAAAATTGTAATTGCATGAAGCGCTCGAAATGTTGGATAAAATGCGATGTACAAATTTATGCTTGTGAATTGAATGTGGGAACTTCCAAAACACGTTAATTTAGCAGTTTAGGCGGGACCAGGATTGGGCTGATAATAAAAAAGTTAAAACTGTTTTAGTTGCTGCTTGTTATTTCTTTCAAAAGTTTTATTTATTATTTATTGGAAGCACCCTGCAGTATATTATGTGTAATATCTGGATTTAGAAAATTTTAAGAGTCACAAAACTGAACTGAAAATCTTGAAATAACCAAAAAGTATTATTGCCGATCAAACATTGACTAGTAAAGGACCTAAAAATCAAATTGATATGTTATATGTATGTATATATGCATATATTCTGAAAAAAATTATTTTTACTATTATCCCCGTTATAACTTGATGTAGACCTAACCAATCGGCCTTAAGTATATCATCAAGTAATTTGCTCTAAAATTCCGCAACCAATTTGTAAAGAAACTAGCAAGCCTGAAAATGACAAATTTTTATTAAGTATTCGCAAGTGTATAAAATTTTTTAAACTAGATCTTTTAACAATAATTCCTTAAAAGGCAAAGACATGCTGTAAAAACGAGCTATAAATATTTAATAGCTTATGTGGCCTAGAAAGTGAAAATCTATGAACACATACCATACATATATACGCATATAGAAGTGCACATGCTTAAATAATTGTCGGCAAATGAGTCAAACGAGTTTTTCGCCATTAAATTTACACTAAAATCGAATTTTATATAGATTTAATTGTAATGACTGGATGTGAGCAGTTGTGTGGGGGGCACGCCGAAGTTTAAAGCATATTTTTATCCGAAGTGCTGACGCTTTGCATTAGTTTTCAATATTAATTATGTTTATATATACATAAATATATACTTCTATATGTTATCTAAAGCACCATTTATCATTATATAACATGCACAGCGTGCGCATGAAAACAAGATACACAATTAACGGTAAATCAACGCATAAATATTTCATTAATTTATTACTTATCTAAGCGGCAGTGATTACCAGCAATTACCATCAACAAAAGTTGCACGCATAAAAAGCCGCGCAACCGCAATCACACGCAATTGACGATTTTCGGTTTCAAGACATTTTTTGATTTTAAATTTGTGTAACCAGCTCATGAGTTATAGCTGTAGCGATGGCTGAGCAGGGTGTCATAAATGCACATATATATATTTTTAAATACATTAAATAACTCTGGCAACAGTGGCAGTTGAGTTGTCATACAAATGCATTAAAACTCTTTCAGCCACCCCAAAACACAACAACAATAGGCACGCAAGCAGCGGCAAACCACTAGTCATGACGCCAACCCGGCTGCCGGGCCGCATTATATAAAAAAAGTGAGAAAAGTCTCAACACCTACCCGCACATGTACGCCATACAGGCATATGCGAACGTTGCCACGCACGGAGTCTGGGAGTGGTCAACGAGGCACTTGCTGTTCCCACGGGAGACCATTGTACAATTTTTTTTACAGATTTTCAACATTATTAAATATTTTTAATATATTTTCATATAATATAAATTCATTGTTAAACCTAAAATTCTCTTACTAACTTATTCTCATTGCGTTGCAATATTTGACTGCCCATTTTTGTATTAAACATGATTTAGGAATTTTTCAAATTTTCTGCGCTGCACTTTTCGTAACAACTGTTGCATCTCAATTCAACTCAATTCAATTCAAGTTAACTAAATTCATACAATTCGTTTCGAATGCCACTTATTTTGTATCAAATTAATTGTGTATTTTTTATGCAAACTCCTAAAAGCGTCGACACGCCCAAATTCGGTTGCACCCGTCGCTGAAATTCTTTCAGTTTTCAGTGCGTGTTGCAATTTTTAACTACTTCGTAAAACCGAAAATTGTTTGTCCAAACATTTGGTGTATTTTTTTAATTGTGTACTCCCAGGCAACAGACTCATTCTATGGCGTCACGCATTTTTCGCTACGCTTTTGTGCACTTAGAGAAATTGCCTTTTGCATGAACAGTATTAATCCAGCAAAAGTAAGAGATTCGCAGTTAGTTTTCTGACCACTTATTATTATTAAAGAAATGCTTTAAAGTACACTTAAAAGTGCAGCGTAAGTCAGAGCCCGCATGCTTATCCTCATTTCATTAAATACATTTTCCAAGCTATTTGACAATCAGTACCGAACACTGATCGTTTATTTCACTAACCCATGCATAATGAATATGGGTACCAGTTTCGAAGGATCTAAGATCTAAATTTCCAAAAGACCCTTTTTTTATTGTCTTGTCCGTTTGGTTCACTCTATGAGATATCAAAGTATGAAAAACAACTCAGTAAAGTGTGATTGTCATGCCTTTAATTCTTAAAAATTGCGTGATTACATAATGTACGGCAGCATCCGAATGTAAAATTTCCTTACATGTACTTTTTTTTTCTTTTTTTTCCATGCCCAATTTTCAGTTAATTTTTGCGTACATGACTATTTTACAAATAAGGAAGCGCACTGAATTCATAATTTTCAAGTAAATTATCTTAATAACAGTGAGCATAACTGTGGCTATAAATGGTAACTGTAAGAAGCCGTGCATTGTTCGGATGCTATTTTGGTAAAATCTGGGGCAGTGCAATTATACGGAATTTAAAATTAAGGCAACTACGCCCCATAAGTACCAGTAACAAGTATTTCAGTTGCCTTAAACGTTTTCAGGGAGTATTGTTGTAGGAATAAAAAGGGAGTACTATAGAGCTTTCAATTTTCGGCTTTTACTTGTATTACTTCAGCCGCGTCAGCTCCCAGTGTCCACCCCAGTTTATGCCAGCAAGCAAAAAAATAATTGAGTTTCGCTGTCATCGGTCGTTGCAACGAAAATCTTAATTCAATTCATTCGCTCATTTTTCACAAACTTGCCGCTAATGCTTTGTGCGCATTCATAGCCAGCCGCGTTGACGGCAGATCTTAGGCGATTGCGTGCTGCTACAATTCCCGTTTCAATTGGCGCTTGCACGCATTGCTAAGTGGTCAGAATAGCAACAACAACCACTGAGCAATGCAGACATCTCAAGCAGCAGCTATTGCGCTGCACCGCGCAGCAAAAGAATCGTCTACACCGCCACATCTTTCCGAAGCGAGCCGTTAAAATTCGGGCTTCACGTCTTTCGTGTGCCGCATAAAAGCTTCGAGCGCGGAAAAATCGATTGCAATCTCTTTGCTTTTGGGTGATTGTGCGTTTTTGCTCTCTTATTTTAATGTTTTTCATTTTTGTTTTACTTATGTACATTCAATTCGGTTCGCACAAGAATGCACATTTTGCTATGTTTTTGCGCTCTTCGATATAATTTTTCTAATTTACGATTGAACGCGTTGAACTATAAAAGTAACTGCTTGTCAGCTTAGAAATCACAGTTGACTTCTCTACCAACCGAGCGACTAACAAGCAAATCGTGAGCGTGCGTTCAATAAACGTGTGAAAGAGTTCGCAAATAAATCACTTTAATCCTCCGCAACACCTTCATATCCAGACATGAAATATCTGGTGAGGATAAAGTGTGTGTTCGAGTGCAAATTTGTTACTAGGAGTGCTTCTGTTTCTACCGCTACTATGTTGCTAATCACCTTTTTTAACGTGTCCTTTCCGTTGTGTCGCACTAGATCGTACTTAGCTTGATCGCAGCCGCCACCGCTGCCCCTGGATTATTGGGTTTGGGTCATGGATCTTATGCAGCGCCAGCGCTGAGTTTAGGTCATGCACCAGCTTATAGTTACGCCGCTCCAGCTCTTAGTTATGCTCAACCCGCCCCAGCTATCAGTTACGCCGCTCCAGCTGTTAGTTACGCAGCGCCAGCCATCAGCCTTGCTCCAGCGCCCGTTGTCAAGGCTTACTCCGCACCTGCTGTAGTAGCCGCACCGACCATAGTGAAAGCAGCTCCAGCCGCCACCAGCTACTCCACCTTCAGTCAGGTAAGTTGACGAGAGAGAGAGAGTTAATCCCAAAAACATTGCACGGTTTCGGTAACTGTACTTTGCAGTTAGGTAACTCAAAAGTAAAAATTATTTCATTTCGGTTTCAAATATTTGTCTAGTGGAAATGATTTAGAATCGCACAAAAAAAATTAAATTCTCCAACTGAAAAAAGTAATAAAGTAAAAAATGAAAATTCTGTTACAGCGGTACTTTGGTTTTAAAATAATCCAATTTCTATTAGGCGGCTTTTTAAAAATGCAAATAATTGCTATACCGAATAAAAAAAATTGAGATTAGAAACTATAAATATTTTAAAAGAGGACTAGTTATCTAACAAAATCGATAAAAATAACAGTTCATGTATAATTAAACATTACATTGAAATCTTCTTTAATCGCATCAGGTCATTCAACATGCTGCGCCAGCCGTCGTTAAGGTCGCCGCCCCCGCACCAGTTGCCGTAGCGGCTCCTGCCATTTCTTACGCTGCACCTGCTCCGGCCATCTCGTACGCCGCAGCCGCGCCAGCCATTTCGTACGCCGCACCCGCCCCAGCCATCTCGTACGCCGCACCCGCCATTAAATACGCCGCACCCGCGATCTCCTACGCTGCAGCCGCCCCAGCTATCTCGTATGCCGCAGCCGCGCCAGCCATTTCGTACGCCGCACCTGCCATAAAATACGCCGCCCCCGCGATCTCCTACGCTGCAGCTGCCCCATCCATTGTGAAGTATGCTGCGCCAGCCATCAGCTACGGTGGCGGTCTCAGTTATGGCCATGGCTATCATTAAATGAGTTACAACCCACGTACAGCAAAAATGAAAAGTATATAAGATTTAAGCAAGGACACGCACCACAATCACGTGGTGTAGTGGAAAAGAAAGATAAATGCAACAAGGATATATGGAATTACGGATTACATGCTTTACATTATAGCGTCAGACGGCCTTTATGCGGTCAGCGCTTTTAAGTATTTGCTCTTTGTTTTTTTTTTTTTTTTTGGTAGTCACTAAATGGTTTAATAAGATTTTCTCTGATCTAAAGATCTAAATAATATATTTCCCTTCTCTCAATATGGGAACTCGCCTTACTTTACAATGCATTTGGTAGCTATTGTTGTGATGAATTACAAATGTGTCGACAATAAGAACCAATAACAACAAAAGTGATTCATCAATACAACAATACTTAGTAACAACAACAGCAAGAACAACAAACAACAATAACGACAGCAAGCAGCCGCGCGATATACATATGTAGATAAGAGGAGAGTGGAGTGTAAGAGCGTATGATGAGCGGAAAAAAAATCACCGTTCAACGCCCTCAACAATAATTGTACTCTTCATCATTTTCATTAATCTCTATTTCAAATGTATTAAACTAAATAAATAATTGTTTGAATAAAATATTCATTATGGCAAGCCGAAATTAAGTTCACGATGGCATAGCTTACAAAATATACATGTGTATGTACAACAGCAACAACAAATTACGTCATCGGGTGCTCAAGATGGCGTAACTGAGGAATGTGGTGCAAAATAATACGGAATTTATCTATCAAACGATTAATGAGGATATTATACATACATATACATATATACATGCATAAATATATTGTATTTATTTCAATGCTTTGTATATATTATTAAAAAAAAAGAAAATAAAAAAATGCTAAGTGAACTTTTTTCTTTAAAAAATATAATTCGTGTGATTTTTATAAAAAAATGTTAACAAATATTTATAATAATATGTTAAAAGGAGAACTAAACTAAAAATCATAGCTTTCGCCTTTAAGTCTGAGTTTACACACCGAAACGTTTGTTGCTCATTATCGGGAAATTCTCTTTTCGTGTTGCCTATTGCATTCACATGGGCGCGACTCCAGTCGGGCAACTTTCTGGTTTCCTTTTCAAATTATATTCTCAGATTGTTGTGTGCTTCATTTCCAACGCACACAAAAGTATTTTTCATTAGCTAATTTTTATCCTTATGCACCCTTTTCTATAATATTTATAATATATTATGTAAATTCGTTTACATACACACTTGTATTTACATATTGCATACAAAAATAGTTGAGAAAGCTAAGATTTCGAACATATTGTTAAAATTAATATGAAACCGATTGAAAGAACCTCAAAATGAAAGTGTCCTTCATTCGTCTTTCCTCGCCGCCTCCTCGTCAACAAATTACGAGTTGGAGCAACAAAAGTTTTCGTGTGAGAACTCACTCTAAGTAAAATACATAGGATTTTTGCTTACAAAAATTATAAAAAAATATACGAAATGCATTCGTTAATATATACGAAGACTTGAGTACAATAAAGAAGTGTAAAAGTGTATATAGAAACCCACATCGGCCAAGCGCATACAAAGCAACAACTTCAGAGGCGACGCATTTAGCAAAGGCATCAACCAGTCGAAAGGTTTCGCCATGGGTGGATAGAGCTGGAGCCGGTTTAGGGGCTCATGTTATATCTTGTGTGTCTTAAGGGTTTGTATGGCTTGCTTTATTAGCGATCTGCACTATACTTATTTTTCTGAAATGCCATTGACTTAGCACGTTCTCACAGGCAGCGGCATTGTCGTTTTCCAGGGCAGTCGGCTCTTATGTGCGCGACGTAAATGACGTTAAGTCCAATATAACTCCGCAGATAAGTCGTTAATGTGGCCAGTTCCATTTTGTATTAGCGACCAAGTCGCGAATTTTGCGTTAGGATTGGCCATTATAAACTTTTTGGCCGACATTTGACACACCTCTAATTTTTACAATTTAGTTCCCATGACTATTTTTCAAATAAGGTAGCCCACTGAATTATTAATTTTCAAGTAAATTATCTTAATAGCAGTGTGCATGGCGTGCCTATAAAAGGAATCTATTGGAAGCCGTTCAGTTTTCGGATGCTATTTGGGAAAAATCTGTGTCAGGGCAATTTTAAAGTAGATAACAACACCCGTTAAGTGCTAGTTACCGGCATTTAATTTGTCTCAAACGATTTTGAGCAGTGGTAATATTGTTGTAAAGGCTATTTACTTATTATTTATTAATGGAGCCATCTTTTACTTACAAATATTCATTTTTTTCTTCAGACTTATTAGCTTAGTGTCCCCTCAGAAAATAATTAACACAGTTTAATTACGGATTTGCAAATCGAACACAAAAAATCTACAAAAACTCATCTGTCATTGCAAGAAAATCTCAATTTCATTCATTTACTCATTTCCCACATTCTTGCCGCCAAACATAGAGTATATGACGCCAGTCGAGCTGACGGCAGACAGCGGACCATAGGAGATCGCATGTTGCTACAATTCCTGCTGCAATTGGCGTTTGCACACATTTCTAAGTGCTCAGAATAGAAACAACAACCACTGAGCAATGCAGACATCTCAAGCAGCAGTAACATCGCTGCACTGCGCAGCATAAGAATCGTCTCCGCCGCCACATCTTGCCAAAACGGGCTACTTGCCGCCGGCCCAAGTTCGAGTTTCACGTCTTTCATTTGTTGTACAAAGCCTCAAGCGCTGCAAAATCCGATTGCAATCGCTCTGCTTTGGGTGGTTGTGCGTTTTTGCGCCCTTACTTGTTTGTTATACTAACGCAACATGTTGCTTAGGGTATATTGGTTGTGTTGGCCTAACGGTTTTTTGGAACATCCAAACGTGATAGATATAGACTTGCATATGTATATGTATGATCAAGATTAATTGAATTCCTTATGTCTGCCTCTCCATCCCACCATACGCAAAAGAAAAAACTTGAGAACTTGCCAACCTGAAGAGGTTAGAATTGCAGAGGGTCCAAATCGAACCATTGTCACGCCCACAGAATCCCGTTAAGTTGCAAAATTAATAAATATTGTATCCTAATGAAATTCGGTTGCCTTTATACCGTATATATCGGACAATATGTAAGCTATCTTAACAAAGATAAGTCAATTCTTAAATTAGTCAAGTCCTCTGGTCTAAACTTTATATCCGTAATATAATGAAATTCGATTCTTTGGCTGGATTTTTTCTCTTATACACAATATTTTAATTATCAACTATTTGGGTTGGGTTTAAATTGTAATATCTCACTTGAGCTACTTACGTAAATTTTAATATAAATATCGGGGATACGAAGCAAATTATGGTAATGAAACTAAGTGAGTTCATGACGTACGATATAATATGAATTATACCAAATATGTTTGTAATCCACTCACTGTTTTTTCACGGTATAAATGTTGATATGTTGTCACACAACATTTAATTTAGTTTTAATAGAAACTTTTTCCAGCATTTTTCAACAATATTTCCCTGCCTTTTAAACGCGTATATTACGAGTGTACAAAATGTTCGGATACACCCGAACTTGGCTGTTCCTTATTTGCTTTTGTTTTACTTGTATGCTATGTTTTTGCGATATCATTTTTCTAATTTACGATCGAACGCGTTGAACTATAAAAGTAACTGCTTGTCAGCTTAAAAATCACAGTTGACTTCTCTACCAACCGAGCGACTAACAAGCAAATCGTGAGCGTGCGTTCAATAAACGTGTGAAAGAGTTCGCAAATAAATCACTTTAATCCTCCGCAACACCTTCATATCCAGACATGAAATATCTGGTGAGGATAAAGTGTGTGTTCGAGTGCAAATTTGTTACCAGAAGTGCTTGAGTTTCTACCGCTACTATGTTCCTAATTACCTTTTTTAACGTGTCCTTTTCGTTGTGTCGCACTAGATCGTACTTAGCTTGATCGCAGCCACCACCGCTGCCCCTGGATTATTGGGTTTGGGTCATGGATCGTATGCAGCGCCAGCGCTGAGTTTAGGTCATGCCCCAGCTTATAGTTACGCCGCTCCAGCTCTTAGTTTTGCTCAACCCGCCCCAGCTATCAGTTACGCCGCTCCAGCTGTTAGTTACGCAGCGCCAGCCATCAGCCTTGCTCCAGCGCCCGTTGTCAAGACTTACTCCGCACCTGCTGTAGTAGCCGCACCGACCATAGTGAAAGCAGCCCCAGCCGCCACCAGCTACTCCACCTTCAGTCAGGTAAGTTGAGAGGAGATAGAGACAGAATCCTGAAATCAGTCAGCATCACAGCAAATAAAAGGAATAACAGTTTGAGCAGATAGTAAATTCACCAACAATTTAAAAAAAGATGTTAAAAAGTATTTTTTGATAGAATTCATTCTTTTATACAATTTCGATTAAAACAACAGTTTTAAGCAAAGTTCTGTTTAAGTTGGAACTAGTAATTACTTTGAAGTCATTTTTAAAACGTAAATTCCATACTTCACTCAGGTCATTCAGCAATCTGCTCCAGCCGTCGTGAAGGTCGCCGCCGCTGCACCAGTTGCCGTAGCGGCTCCTGCCATTTCTTACGCTGCACCCGCTCCGGCCATCTCGTATGCTGCCGCACCGGCGATCTCGTATGCCGCACCTGCGCCAGCCATTTCGTACGCCGCACCCTCCATCTCATACGCCGCCCCCGCTCCAGCCATTTCATACGCCGCAGCCGCCCCATCCATTTCTTATGCTGCAGCTGCCCCAGCCATTTCGTACGCCGCAGCCGCCCCATCCATTTCTTATGCTGCAGCTGCACCAGCCATCTCGTATGCTGCCGCACCGACCATCTCGTATGCCGCATCCGCCCCAACCATTTCGTACGCCGCACCCGCCATAAAATACGCCGCCCCCGCGATCTCCTACGCTGCAGCTGCCCCATCCATTGTGAAGTATGCTGCTCCAGCCATCAGCTACGGTGCCGGTCTCAGTTATGGCCACGGCTATCATTAAATGCGTTACAATCCACGTGCAGCAAAAACGAAATGGAAATAAGCAAAGACACGCATGCGAGAAAAATTCACAATAACGTGGTGTAACGGAAAAAAAAATGCAAAATGCATATGTTTTAACAAAAAAACTAATATAAAGGCCACATAAATAGCGTCAAAATGGCGTAACTGAGGAATGCGGTGCAAAATAATACGGAAGTTGTCTATTAAAGGGTTAATGAGAATATTATACATATACATATACATATATATATATATACATATATGCATAAATATATTGTATTTATTTCAATGCTTTGTATATAATTTTAATAAAAACAAATTTAAATAAAATGCTAAGTGAACTTTTTATTAAAAATATAATTTATGGGATTTTTATTAACAAATACAATCAAATAATTGTAATATACGAAAAAATTAGTCAAATGTATAGCATCCGTTTCTAAGTGAAAAACAAAGGACTTTAGGACTGCCGTAAAAGCAGAATGTCGACAATTATAAACAAAGTGCTGACGACGATGAAACAGCAGTTGTTGATCATCTTAGCCAACTCGCGCCAAGGATGTGTCTGAATACTCACAAATTGATCGCTCTAAATTGATGGAGGAAAATAAATGATTTTAGCTTTCAAAAATTATAAAGAAATATACGAAATGCATTCGTTAATTTAAACGAAGGCTTGAGTAAAATGAATTTAGAAACCCACATGAGCCAAGCGCATACAAAGCAACAACCGCACAGCCGACACATTTATCAAAGACATCAACCAGTCAAACGGTTTCGCCTTGGGTGGATAGAGCTCCAGCCAGATTAAAGCCACATGCAACAAATAACAGAAGGCAGAGGTTCGCATAACATGCCGATAAGCATGCACTGAAATAAAAATAGAACAGATAGTTCGAAAATTTTCGTGTAGGAGCCAACTACTCACATATGTTAGGTATATAGGTGATGGGTGCATGCTTCGTGACGAACATCACACCCATGGAGATGACGAGGAACACCACCAATATTAGACCACCGCGTCGATAGCCGCGCAGCAAGAAAGACAAAACCAGCAACGTCTCACAGGCTGCAAAGAAAAACCACAGCCATATTTTGGAACACTTGATTTGCTCCATATCTGACGGCATAGCTACCCAAAATTGGCATCGTGTAAACGTTCCGGTAAAACGCGCCATTCCTTTCGATTATAAAATCAAACGATATGTCGCCGCTCATGGATTGGGCAATAGCTTGTTTATTATAACGGCTCGTATTGTTTGCTTCATTGACAATCTGCCATATACTTATTTGTTTGAAATGCCACTCGCTTAGCATGTTGTACAGTTCCACAGACAATGGCTTGCTATTGTCGCATTCTAGGATGATCGGCTCGCGTGTGCGGGGTGAAAATGATTCTATGCCCAATATAAGTTCACAATTAAGTCGTTCATGCGGCCAGTTCCGTTTCGTATCCACGCACCAAGTCCCGTATTCTGCGTTAGCGATGATCATGGTAACGTTGCCATTGGCATAGAGTATAAAACTGATATCGGGTTCACGTTGGGTGTTGCTCCCGTGGGCGGCGCTGCAGATGTTTGTCAAAAAACATGTCAAAGCTGATATCGATTGATATCGATCAGAACCAACTTACTTGATAACTATTAAATCTGGTATCCATAGAATTTTCGATGCATCTTTGTAGCCGAAACTTATAGCGGCAACACCAAACGCATCCGCATTCCACCCAAGTCTGGGATCTTGCCAATACTAATCAGGAGGGGGAAGTAAAGAAAGATTGCATAAAATTGCAGTGAAATAATCATTACAAGAGTAAGAGCTCATTATTACACATGCTCTAAGATATAATTAAACTTTCAGAGCCGGTATGGCTTCAACTAAACTCTTAGCTCAGAGTTTTAATCGCTAATTTCATAATTTTACTTATACAGCTATACTTCCCGTTATGATTTCAATGTCAACGCTACTCACCAACGTTAAGTGCAAGCGTGTGTGTATAATAGACTTTTCATGATTATAAACGACCGATTTCAGTTGGAATGCGTAATTGATCGACTCGAGATCCATGGGCACCGACTCGTTCGCGAAATTCTTTGTCAAATTTGCTAGAATGGAGTGAAAAGGGTCGAGCTCATGTACTTCCTCCTCCATTTCTTCAGCTGTAAATACATAATTTGTTCGAGATAAGCAAATTCACTTACACACACACATTCTATAAAAATGCATTCGCTTACCGAAGCCATCGAATTGACAGTCGTAGTACCATTTCGCCGGAGTCGAGCCAAAACTACTGAAGCTCAGATAGTTAATTTCAAGTGGCGCGGGATCAGTGTAATTCAAAAGCGGGGTCTTCTGAAAACCCGGAATGTCAACGGAAAGTGTGCCATCTGCGGTAGGAAGAAAACACACACACACACATAAGTGGATTTGCGGAAATCTGTTTGTAGAGAGCGAGACATGTGCACGCGAGATATTTTAAGCATAGTTTAACTACATTCGGCTTATCAGCTGCTCACTCACACTTATTTTATATATATACCGACACTTTTTTATTTTTTTACACATATTTACAAAGTATGTTTGCACAATGCCACTCCCACACGTCTAAATATACATATTTATAAATATACCTATGCATATACATATATAAAGTATATATTTATTCATATATATGCATGAACGTACCCTTCGTTTGTATGATTTCGATGGGCGTCGGATCGTACATCGTCAAAATGTTTGGCACCGTACTTGTGGAGACGCGCAGTGAGGCCATGCGACTACGTATAGAGGAGAAGGAATTCTGGCCGGCGCCAATCACTGATAAAATAAAATAGAAATGCACAAAGAAACTCCTTTCAGTATTTTTCATTATCCATTTCAACCGCATACACACACATACAATGTACGGATGTGTATATATTTTGTTGTTCACTACGCACCCACTTCATAAACACGGTCCCTGGAGAGCGGCCTATCGTTGGTCGATAACAGGATGTGTGCATCCATCGGTGCAAGCACATAGAATTTCAAATGCAACCGCTCATTGGAGTTCAATTTGTTGTTGACCAATTTGTGTATGTGAAAGAATTGCGTGTAGGCATATCCGCTGTTGACTATACGAAATTCCTTGCACGTATCCATTTGCGCCAAGGACACATTGTATTTGTTGGCGGCGGTGAGTTGAACGAAAAGCACTGTTAAAATGCATATTACCCAACTATAATTATTATATAACCTATACAAATGCATTGTAACTATTGCAAATTATATTCCGTTATAAGATTTTTTTAATTTTCCAATTATTTCAACGTTTCACAGCGAATGCTCCAGAGCAACTACTTCTAGATATATCGTTAAGAAGTTAAAGAGCTGCAGAATCGCCACTGCGTTAAGATAAACCTTAAGGTTGAGAGCAAGTGTGTAGGAAGTTATCAGCAAAGCATTATTAAGTATGCTCAGGAACTGTAAAAACGTACAGTGTATTCAAAATATATGAAAATTTTCCAAGATTTTTATGCCAATTAGAATTGCTAACTTCTAAAGTATTCCTGGTAACTATGAAGCAGATGAACTAGTCAGAACAGGCACGCCCCTACAATTAGACTCCGGAAAAGAGGGAATTTATATGATCTGGCTACGAGTAGATATTTTAATCGGCAAACATGACATGGCACGGAATGATATAAGAACTAATTTGCAGACATGCCATTAGACTGGGAACACAATAGAATGACTATTGTAGAACATCTTCGATGCGAGCGTAAAGCTTTTTATAGGATAAGAATCGCAACCATCGGACTACAGTTCCTGCACGATATTTCGGAGGTTCACGTACTGATAAACTTTATCATAAGCACGTGGGTGGTTCAGAGAGGAAACAATCGAGTGAGGGGATTATAGTCCCGGTGGTTTCACAATGGGTCTCCTAAACGCCCAGCTGCGTCGTCAGACAGCCACTCTACCTACCTAGTTATTAGCACTTCGTCGATACACGTATTTACATTTTTGTACTCATTATAATATTATATAATCATCATCAGATTAACCAAGGAAAAGTATAACAACGAACAGCAATAGTTTTTTAAACATATCAGTTTCCAGTAACATTTGAAATTACTCACAAATGTCTCAATAAAATCCCTCAAATTGAAACCACGTCTTATAAAGAAAAACTTTTAGTTAGTGGCAACTCTATTATCTTGTCAGCTGTATAAACAGCTGTTCCGACGTTGTGTTTACAGTGGCAAGTCGCGAATTTAGTTGAAAATGGAGAGGAGAAAATTGAGCTCAATTTTAGTGTTAATGAAGAATTGTTATATTAATAAATTTACCCAAATGAATTAGTGAAGTAAACCGCACATATTTACCGAAACTCAAGTGACTTCTATAACAAAAAGTTAAATTTTATTGCTATAATTTGCTGCCAGAGGCTCTCTGGTGGGCTAATCTTGTGCTGCTTCAGTCCGTCTGCGTATGAAAACGATAAGCTAACAGAGAGTTGCGCTCAATATTATCTTATTGTTGGGGAAATAGCTCCACACGACATGCTTGCTTGTATTTGAAGCGATAGCTATGAGCTTTTTGAAGACGTGCCGGCAAGGTCTGGCGATTAGTCACATTTAGATTTTCTCCGCGAGCAGTTCTGATGGGATATTATCGCGGTGTTTGAAGTGTTGCTGTATTAAATGTTGGTATATAACAGGTGCAATCAGAACGACCAGAGCAGTGCGTCAAACGTGATAAGTGATTTGGCGTTGGAGGGAAATTAATTTACACAACAATTAAATGAACTGTTATGACTTGACATAAACGTGGTCGTTATGAGCAATTATCATTGAACAATTAATTACAAATACGTATAAGAAGCGTGAAAATCGTTCGGCGATAGCTAAAAAGCGTTCAACAATAATTAATCAACAATCAACATTAAATCCTAAAATATTTTCTATAATCCAAGGTAAGCGGTATATTCCTACATTTTGTATAAAAATTAAAAACAAACACGCAGATTTTAGCCTGCTGTAATATTTTTTAAATGTAAATATGTATGTATCTACGCCTTCAAAATTATTGGCGCTGTCTGCACTGTGTGCACACTTTCACACCTCAGACTAACATATTTAAGTTAATTTTTTAAATTTATTAAATAGGTATCCAAAAGAAGTCACCAAAAGCCAGATTTGTTGTAAAAACATAGTCTTACATATGTATGTAAGTATGCGTAAAGGTGTATCATGAAAGTATATAAACGTTGGTGGATGCATATACGAACACGCATTTAGGTAGTTGGAAAAAGAAAGTTTTTGGCGCTGCTTCTGCTTTGCTTATTATACAGCCATAAGCATGAATATGTACGATTATACTTTTATATACATATGTCTACCAAAATATTTGTCTGTTACTTTACTAACTCACAAGTTCAGCTTATCAGCTTAAATGCACGCTCTCGCACGCTGCTATTTCGTGCTGCGTTTTTTAGCGGTTGAAATATTTTTTTTTTGTATTTCTTGTGTTGGCAGCGGTTTCTTGTGGTATATGCCACATTTTAAATATAAAGTGCTCTTTGGCGCAAAACTTAAAGAAGCGCGTTAAGTGAGTTTAAATATAATTAAAATTCAAACAAACTTTGAAAAATTTATGAATAAAACTAACTACTTCCTGCCAACAACTAGTAGTAGATATGCTGGTTTATCATATATTTGCATTTCTCACTTGAGCAACAGGCTATCAGTCTTATATTAAGTTTCAAACGTCATGCTGTGTTCTGTGCTCAACCGCTGCCAATGAACTCTAAATATTTTCTTCGCTATACCTTTTCAAGCTATAATTTTTTCTGTTAATTCTTTCTTCTTCTACCTTTAATTTCCTTGGCACTTTGCCAGCGGTAGTCAGCATTAATTCTTTTATTAGCCATATTCGTTTGGCGATTGTTGTCTCATTGTAAGTATATTCACACACACACCACCATATCGTTATTCGACCATATGTCATCGCGTGTCAAATTTGCGTTTTCTTTTGAACAACACTTTTGTACTCAGCAAATTTTACTTCTTGCACATATATACATACACATGTACACTTTTTGTATATATACTCTGAAATAGTTACTTTGGTTTCCTACAGTTTTCAATTCTTCATTTATCGAATGATCTGCCTTGGTTTTAGCTTTCTTCTCTGATATATTAGTATTTCTGTAAATACTTTCTATGTAAATTTTGTTTTTATTTTAAGGTCTCTCTTCAGTTAATATGTTTGTTTGCATTTCATTCCAAAACATGAATTTACAACACATATCCGTATACAATTGCGTTTGTTTTTAAGGTCATCTAGTATTTTTTATACCCTCAACAGGGTATTTTAAGTTTGCCACGAATTTTGTAACACCCAAAAGGCAGCGTCGGAGAGCCTATAAAATATAAAATAATAAATGTATACATATATGGCTTACTATATCTGATCAGCATGGCAAGCCATGTACGTCCGTCTGTATATACGCGAACTAGCCTCGCAGTTTTTGAGATATCGAACCTTTCCAGACGTCCTTTCTTCGCCACGAAGCTGCTCATTTGTCGAAACCGTATATATAGTATACACGTATAGCTGACAGACAAACTAAACGAACAAAACCAAGTTCTTATTAAATGTGAAGGGTATTATAGATTTTTTTCTTGTTTTGTTTTAAATTTACCACGGCCAGCATCTCTTTAGCAGCCAGTCGCATCAAGCGTTTCCTGTGTGTTGAGATTCATTGTCAAGTCGTCGCTGACCATCGGGTCATCTTAGGGAAACTAGTTTCGGCTTAATTGTATAAATATACATACATACATACATGTGTAGTTATAAAAGTTTCAACATTTTATGTTTTTCATCTTCTTGTTTGATTGGCATTATATAGCGCATCAGCTTTGTAACATTTCGTAATAAAGCTTTTCCGTATAAGGTGCACAGGAGGTCAGAAATGTGGTCCAAAAATAAACCAGTTTGGCAAAAAAAAAAATTTATAGTTTGTTACATTAATTAAATCAAGCGCCATTAATCAGCAGATAAAAAATAAATTTAACGCCTAAAACAATGGCGCGAGTTTAAAGGGTTCGTACCAAAGTCACATTTTACAAGTGTTAGTTTTATGTGCGTTTTTATTATATTATATATTATATTTAACTAGTTACAATCATTATTAATGGAAAGAGTATCCAAGTTCGAAAGTACAAAAGCCATTCTCAGGTGTCAAAAGAACGACAGCACTTTGTTATTTGTTGACTTTTTGGCGGTAGTATATTACACCTGTTAGTTAGTTAGACAGCAATTTAAGCAACCGTGAAGTCAACACTTAAAGTAAAAAACAAACATAATAAAACAGGAGAAGATTATATTTGTCAAAGCCAACAAAAGGTGCGCCAACTCCACAGCTTTATACAACTATTGGCACTTCTATAACTGCATGGCGTTATATTTTATTCAAGTGATTTGGAATAAGTTACTGAATAGAAAGCTCCCTTGCGGAAATTGAAGGCTTGACTTCAATGGACTTCGTTATGACAAATGCTGGCATTTATTTGACAAATTTATGTGTATTAATAATAATTTATGCATATTTCCTGTCTTCACAATATTTGTCATTGCTGTGGAAGCACAGTTAAGGCAAGCAAATGCTTTACTGCTTGAACAGCACCGTTACTGCGTCGTTGACACGCTTACGCGCCTCAATTTCGCTAGAGATGGTGCGAGCACTCGTTACAAATGGATGTGTAAACAAGCCATTTAGCCAAGTAACGAGATATGAAAGCGCTATAGGTACATTGTGTGCAGAGTGCGCGCATACGCCGATGAATTTTGCAAACAAAAGTGCGAAAATATTTAAAATGCTCTACAGCATTCCACTCGAAGAGAAATACACATATATAGGCTTATTGTGGCAACATTAACTAGGAGATCGTAATAACACGTGCCACAGAGACATATGATAAAGAAATGAGAAATTTATAAAACAACAGCAAGCAAAAAATTTAATGGAATGCTACTGAAGTGACAATCTTTGGGCGTATAGATATTCGAGTGCGTTCCGGATACGTAAACTCAAAGCTATTGTTGCTGTATTTCCCAAGTAGATATGAGCAGATGCGTATTTGTCGAAATCACTATAGCATATAGCGGCATTATAAACTGATCGGTCAAAATCAAGTCCTTGTATAGCAAACGTTTTTATGTGACAAGATATCTTCTTGAAAAAAGTTTGGCATGCATTATTGTCGAATGCAACGCTACAATTCGATAATAAATTATTCAGATCGTATCACTATAGCATATAGCTGCCTTACAAACTGACCGATCAGCTGTGCAGGGTATTATGACAACGTTGATATATTTTATGGTTTTCTAACTCACTTATAAATTTGAATGTGCGATAGTAGGCTCATTTTTGCGGATAATTAAACGTCTAAAGTTCGCGTTCTTCAAACGGGTTTGCCTATTTTCGCAATCTTTTTGTTGTTTATTTTCATTATGCTAATTTGTTGTTTTAAATTTTTTGTTAAAACCAGTTTGCTCAGAACTAGGAAGTATTCTGCGCGAAAGATGTTCTGAAATCGATTATATACCCTCTTTGAAGAGGGTCTCTCTAAAATCGATATACATGTCGTAAAATTGTCTTTGGTCATTTATAAAGTTTAGAATCCACGAAAATATTTCTGTACAACTAAAAACTTGTTCGTGCTTCGAAATATGTTGCAAGCTGTGCCAACCCACAGCCTGTCAAAGTCTGACATACTCGCACATAGGTATATCGTATGAATAAACTAGACAAACATACAAATACGAAGGCAGTCGGCCGGCAAGAGGTTTATCATATTTGAACTTTGCTCTACTGTCGTCATGCGACTGTTATCAGTAAAGGCAGTTTGCAGAGCTTATCGCTAGCGCGCTTATCAAAATTTCTATGTTATACTGAACTGTCGCAAAAACTGACTTTGTTTTCTATTTGATTTTCTTACAGCTCTTTCTCTCTTGAATCGAACTGAGCAGAACCGTCCAAAATGCTGACCTGCTTTATTATTATTTTCGTGATATTATTCTGCAGCTTTTATTTTGCCAAAACCTCTAAGGAGATGCCAAAGAATTGGTATGAGCTGAAAACGGAGCTGCGCTACCAATACATTGGCCTAGTTGGCCTGATACACGATTTCACATATCGATCACGCGATCGCGTTGGTGAGTTCTAGTGCTTAACTGCGTTTTATGCATTGTAATTAAAGTTATTGTTTGAAATACTATTGCTATATGGCTATGCTTACGCAATCCTATATTTCGCTTTTATTGACTAAACAATTTATTGAATGTAAATATTTTACTTTTACTTTAGCGCTTTATAAGCAGCCTGGACGTGTAGCTGTAATTACGGGTGGCAACCGTGGCATTGGACTTCGCATTGTGGAGAAACTACTGGCCTGTGATATAACGGTTATAATGGGTAAGTTGGAATGCTTCCAAATACTACTGATTTAAATTCAGGTTATTAAAATGAAAAAAAAACTCGATTTACAAATAATTTTCAGCAAACAGCAAAACTTTTGTTTTATAAGTTAACAAGTCTAATCCTCGATCTGTGCGCTTAGAGTCCAGTATCATATATAAAATTGTATTTTGCTTTCATAAAAATCTCTCTAATATGCATACACACATATAAAGACTACACACCTATATTATATAGAGATATTTTAGGTGTACTAAGATTTCATTTGTACGTGAGTTAAATGTTAAATGATTGCTTAGCTCACAGACCCTAAATCTACAGAGCATGCACGTTGTAAGCGTCCTTGCCGGCAAAGCTTCTTCGTTGACGTACAGTACATTAGCAACAAAAACTCATTACTCAATACCAACAGACGTTGTAGAATTTATTGCAGACGTGCACATATTTTTAATTAGCTGAGTCAGGCGCCAAATATTAAATTATAAAGCTTAAATTTGTTGTACAAATGCGCGACTTACACAAACATTGAACTTGATATGTGTATAAAGCCTTAAAAGCTTCAGCGGAAGTTACTGTCAATTTTTTTTCTTCATCGCTGAACGCGCAATATGCCTAAAAGTATGCTTACAATTACCAAACAATTGCTATTAACTCTTCGTATAGCATACATTTAGGCACGATTTTTAGATTTTAAGCTCGTTTCTTATGTTGGCCGTTTGCTTGTATTTCAGGTGTTCGTGATCCCGTCAGCGCCGAAGCTGCGGTCACTTCCGTTGTCGACCTCACCACAAGCGGCGGCAAACTGATATGTGAGCCACTTGACATTGGCGATCTGACGTCCGTTAAGACATTCGCTGAAAAGGTGAAAGCGCGCTTCAACAAGGTGGACTTACTAATAAACAATGGTGCGTTTAAAATTCCCTTATTTGCAAAATTATAATATCAAATATCAATTCATCCATAGCTGGCATCATGTTTGCGCCCTTCAAGCTGACCGCCGATGGTTTCGAATCACATTTCGCTACCAACTACTTGGGTCACTTCCTGCTTACTCATCTACTTTTGCCCGAGCTAAAAGCAGCCGGCAAAGAAGGCAAAAACGCGCGCATTGTGAACATTTCCTCCTGCGTGAATTTGATTGGACGCATCAATTATAACGACATCAATGGACTGTAAGTACAGTTAACTGTACCTCACCTCAGTTTTTGGAAATTATTTGTTACACTTTTCGTTCGCAGCAAAAATTATTACCCCGGCAGCGCGTACAGTCAATCGAAATTGGCACAAATCCTCGCTACACGTCACCTGCAAACGATCTTGGACGCACAGTCGGCGCATGTACAGGTGAATGCCGTGCATCCGGGCATTGTAGACACCGATCTATTCGAGCACAGCGCCACCACTTATGTGCCGTTCATGAAGAAACTTTTATTCAAAAATCCCGAGCAGGGTTCACGCACCGTCGTCTTTGCCGCCATCGACCCCAAGCTGGAAGGCAAGGGTGGCAGCTACTTGAGCAATGGTGGACTTGGCCAAATGCATAGAGATGCGAAGGATCCAGCTAAATGTAAGAAATCTTTCAAATTCTCTTGCGAACTGTTGAAAATCGCAGATTTTGGCAATGGAAAAATTTGATGCAAAACGTGTGAGCAACAATATAGCCTATATACCAACGGATTTTCCATCATAAAACACATATACATACTTTTTCAATATTTTTAAGCCACTAAGAATACTGTATGCAAGTTATAACTGTTTCAGCATACCAGTTATTTCAATTTTAGATTTTGAAAGTTTTGTATTTTATATAGAATTATATAAAGAACATTCCATTTCCATCTAAATGGCAATAACCACATCAATTTCTCTTATTTATATTTTTATAAACTAGTACTGATCCAAACACAAATAACATTTGTATTAATCTGTATTAGCCGTAGTAAAAGCATTTAAATGTGAGTGTATTTATGTTAATAATTAAACTAAACTACAATTGTATTTATTTACATATGTGAATAAATTAATATTTTTATATGAAATATAAACGCATATATTTTTAAATGAAGTGGTTATGGCAATCTAATCACCTGACATTAATTTGACAGCTGTTGACTGTTTTCAAAGCACGAATCTGTTCTAAGAGTTACGGGATTAAAAAAAATAAACAATTTTGAGTTTTACAGACGTGAATATATTTGATTTTATTTTGTTGATGAATATCAACAGATTATAGGTGCGTATCGATCACGGCTGAATGTGAGGGCATTGAGAAAAAACGAATCCGATGGGCTTTCATGATAAATATGTTTCGAATTGTTAGCAAGTCAAGCAACATTAAATATGTCGAAAAGTGCTAATTATAACTTACATATTCCCCAATTAGAATCTAAAACCTACAAACTAGTTGAAAATCATCTCTTTAACACATTCGTTGATGGTCGATAGACAGGATTTTCTGCTTCTAAATTTTGGAAATTACTTTCAACCCCTGATTTTATAATTTCCTCAATTTTATAATTTCCTCCGTCCCTATCTTTTGTTAGATATGTCCCAAATTTGCACTTTCAAACAAAATGCTTAGGGCTCTTACGAACAAGTCCGGCACATGTTCATAGAAAGGCATTTAACAAGAAGTATAACAAGGTGCTTGCAATACATGTTGTTACAGCTGTGTATACTTCAACATACCTAAATATTTTCGAGCGCATTCAAAGCACTCGACGGACACATTAAAATGTCATAAATCAACGAAAAATAATAGATCTCAACTATAACGCCACACTATTTTGGCAACGAAAGCTACGGTAAAGAAAATATTTTGTCTATTAATAATAGGGATATTAGTCAAAAATAAATAATAATAAACCAGAGCTGTCGAGGCGCGATTTCATCAATCAACAACACTTTTGTTTAACAAAGTAACAGTTGAAATGCCCGCGAGCAGCGCGTCACACCATTTGACAGCGTATGAGTCAGCATTGGCCGGCAGCGAGGAGCGGTACTCATATGTTGATGATATTAATGGTGCTCTTCACTTTATATTAATAAAAAAATACTTAAAACACCAGGAAGTGTATTTAGTTGTACGCTAGTAACCTAACCTAACTAATCAACAAAGTAACAATAAAATCATGTCTTATAATATATTATAAGGTGGGTCTTCTATTTTAAAATACCAACTGTAGCGCCAACAACGACACAGCGCGCTACTTGCAGGCAGAGCTTCAACAAGCTTATTGAAAACATTTCCAAGAAAAAGCTAAAAACAAACTGAAATGAATGTGAATGGGTAAAAAAAACTCGACAAGTTTTGCGGTAATGAAATAAACATTATAATTTTACATTTACTTTAATGACGAAAAGTCGAAAAGTCAAACGAAATTTATAGGTTAAAATTTCCAAAAATTAACAAGTGGCTGCTTTCTTAGCAAACCGTGGCGAAATTATAGTCTTATATACAAAATAAAATAAGTTATATATATATGATATAGGGTGCCTAAAAATGGTCGCTTAACCCTGCTTTTTTAACTTTGTCTCTAATTTGGTTTTTGCAAATTGGAAAATTGCTGTTGATTGATATGATGGGGTGATATTTAATAAATAATCATGCCAAATTTCAAGTAAAACGACTTAGAGCTTGAAATATCATGACGACCGCTTCGACCAGTCATTTCAAGAAAAACGCGTTTAAAGTATTATATTAAGCCAAGTTCAAACCTGCCGAGTCGCCACGACAGCCAAACAGCTTTAGCGACTTAAAAAATAATATGAATTTTAAAAAATACTTTTAGAGAGCTACTTTTGATTATTAAATTAGCGAAATATGAAAAAAATAAATTTTTTTTAATTTCGGGGCCAGAATTACCACTAAGTCAAAAATTTAATCATTAGGAGGCATCACCCTGTATGATAATTTCATTGCGATTTTTATTCTCTTTTCAGTAATTTCATTTCGTAAAAGCAAAGTACAACTATGTGAGTAAAAAAAGAAAAGAAAATCAAACTGACGACCCAAACTTCTCTAATTCACCACAACCTGCTCGAATTACAAAATATTTGCAATTTGTTCTAATTGATTGCCACACAGACGCATTTATTGTAGATTTTATTTGGTAGAAGCCATAACGCACTACACATATACATACATATTTATATATGAATGCGCATAAAAAAAGTTAACCTCAACTTTTTGTTGATGAGTTTGCCGCATAAAACTCCATTGCATACAGTTGCTATTTTATTATATTTTTACATACATATTTGCTTTTTGCACATTCTCGAATATTTCGTTTCATTTTACGACTTATTACTCAAATACAATAGCTTTTCAATTAATTAAATTTGTAAATGTTTTCAATTATTTTTTGGGTAAGCCCAATTGAATAGTAAAATGAAGAAGTCGCCGCTGTTTATTTAGTTTGTATTTCATTCAATTCGATACGTCGAGTAATTAAACACTGAAAAGTATGTTAAGTGCTAAATAAAAATTTGCCGTATATTCGTAGTTTGTATTAATAATTGACAAAGTTTTTAGTTTCTTTGTGTTTTCTTTGTCTTTAACAATGGCTTCTAAATTTGTTGAAAATCATCAAAAATCAAGCAAAACCTTCGATTGTACGCAACCATTTGTCACGCATGCGCTTGAATCAAGGCACATTCCCATTGCCAGAACTGACACCATTAACCTCAACCACGCAATATTGCTCTGCTATAGCGATTACATAACGCACAACAACAACTACAACTACGTTGTAATCCTTTTTGATTTATGTTGCCACCAAAACGCAACACTCAACACTAGCAACTTATATGCGACGCATGCTAACTTGTGAACTCGATTTGTTTGTGTGTGCGCAGGCGCATACCGTCACCACCGACAGTCAACTCATGGCGATTTCATCATTGCGCGCGCACGACTTTCAGCTCAGGCACTCTACACTCTACAGTTAATATTTCCATTATTACGGCAGTGTTGCACGTTGCGATTAGTTGTTGCGTGTTAACAACAAGTGGCGGGCAACAGAAGCGGTGGACGAAACAAACAAAAAAAAAAAACCGAAAATAGAAATGCGTGCGACCACCAAACAACAACAAACAGTTGGGCAGATGAACAGATTGTTGCACGTGTTCTGCTGCTGCAACTCCGACACTGCCACTCCTGCCAATGCAGCTGCTATGAATAAGCTCGGCCGCTTGTGCTACCAACATTTTCCACTTTTGTGTTATTTTACCAAGCTATGAGTTGCAATTTAATTTGTGGCAAGATAGGTCACTTGCTACTTGCTATTGCCTTTGGAAACATGCAACCATTTATTAAGTTGCCACAACAAGCCGTTATCGCATGCAAATATGCCAGTTAATTCGTAATTTGTAATCAACAGCATATTGCCACAACGAGTGCCACTAGCCTGTGCAACAGCTCAAATGCATCAAGGGCTGTTTAAAGTGGGTGGAGTTCTCGCTGCGTCCGGCACTTTATCGCCACCGCTGCATCTGCTCGAGTAAGCGTAGCTACTGCACGCTTAACGGCAATCTGCAACATGCCAAGTGCAACATGAACGCACAATTTGTCTGCTGCTCAACGGGGCGCAATGCTATGAAATGCAAATTCGAATCTGTTGCGCTGGCTTGCCCTGCAGCGCAATAAATCTTTAAGCCACTTCAACTTATGCTAATACATACCAATCTCGCTCAGTGGCAGCCGCACAGCCGCGCATACATACATATGTACAGGCACGCCAACCACTGTGGACGCACACTTCAGCTGTCCATCCAGAAGCAGACGAAACAAATCGTTTTCAGAATTGGAGCAGAAAATTGTGGGTTTGTTGTTGTATATGGTTGTTGTCGCTCATTGTATTACTCCAGAGTTGTTGAAAGCGTGAAGATTGCTGGACAAATTGCGAAATGCAAGATGTAGATAGCAACGTGGCGCCACAACTGCAAGTGGCATGAACAGAACGCTTAAAAAAGTAAAATAGTTACTTAAACTTGCAACAGATTATTTAAATCTACAATGGCTTTTCGAGTGTGCTTTACTTTTACATTAACGTATTCAATTAATATATATACTTGTAGTTTTGCTGCCTAGGTGCTTGGTCTTTCGAAATATTATGTGCGGTTAAGACAGTCTATCGCTTAAGCATTCGAAAGGTATAGTTTCTTCAAAACCCGAAATATGATAATATGAAACCAAAATGAAGCTGGGAATCACAAGCATGATTTTTCCGACTTTTGCCAGTCAATTGAAAAGTGCTGTTTAGAAACATATAGAGATCCAGCTAACGCATCAGTCATATCTGTAGACCTCAAAGCCTGGAAACATGAACCAGATACCGCTGTGCCAAACAATTATCTCGGCAGTATCATGCAAATATCATCAAAAAAGAGATATTACCTACTGCAAAGCACGGCTCTCCCGAATTCCAATTTGGCTGATCTACCTTCCTTTCGGTCCCTAATTGCCGATACCATAAACACCAAAACATGCCAAGTCTTCAGAGGAATTCCATGAAATACGCTTTTCTTGAATAACGCTCTTGCATACATACACACACTTTAAAAATATCAGCTATGCAACAACAATAATAACAATAACCACAGAGAGAGTGAGTGTAGCACACTTACGCCGATCTCCGTAGATGAGTAATCAGACCGAGTTCTTTGTCATTGTTGCAGCGGCCAAAAAATTTAATTGTCAGAGCTTATTTATGGCTTGATTAATATAAAACCGATTTAAGCTCAAATTAGTTGGTAATAATGTCAAGTACATACCTTTGACCTTTCCCTACCAAATTTTACGCTTAACTTTTAACAAATTTTCTAAAATACTTTTCGGGTAGTGCACATAATTAACATCAGATGAAATATCAAAATTTCAGTAAACGCGAAAAGAAAGTCTTATTGGGGCGTGTACTACCAGTATATCGATAAAATGTAAAGCAAGTGCATTTGTAAGTTGCATAATATAGCAGCACCACTGGCAACAAATTCACTCAATACTTATGCATAGAAAATAATAAGTCAATTATTGTCTAATCAGATC